GTTTTCAAAAACTAATTGTCATTCATCTTTAAAAATGCACATGGGTCATCTGCATAAAGAATGTTGTTTTCCATACAAGAGACTTGTTTCCTGGGCAGAAATGTGACTTTCAGCACAGAAAATGCTGTTCTTCACACGCACACACACACACATACCTTTTTCATCATTTTTTCACATATTAAGACCTGAATTGTGATGATTCTCACCCATCCAGGAATCCTTATCATTGTTTCCCAAGAACCTTATTGCCTAAGAAAACAAATCAGAAACAGAGCCGGAGAGCAGCATCTTTCTCCTTGCCTTTCTGCATAACACTACAGTTCTCTTCTCAAAGGAGGTGGTTGTAAAAGCAAATCTTTTGTTTTGCTGGGAAAATCCATTTGACAAAAGACAAACTTTTACAACCAGCTACTACTGACGTTGCTATTCTCTGGGTCCATTTTGACTCTGTTTTCTCATGTGATAAGGCTCTCACACTTGACAAAGCCATTTTTCAACTATTTTTGGAATAATTTTGAATATTCTTTCCATCTCTCTATAGTCTCCCTTAAGTGAAAATCATGCAGTCTACTGATCCTACCCTCTCCTACCAAAGCAACATTGTCATAGGAGCTCAGAAGCAGTCATACCTGCCTGCTTCCATGTCAGTGGGGTTGTGAATCTATTCCAGGTTTAAGTCCCAACATTAAAGGCACTATCCAAAGTGATGACCCTGTTTTCAAGATGCTGGTTCAACTTATTCCAGGGATAGGGTTCAGTGGGTTGGATGGCTCCTTTAAACATCACAGAAAATCCCAGAACAGATCCACCACCACACTGACGGAGAAGGTATCTTCCACTGCTTGGAAGGAATGAGTTATAAGCAAAAAAGTTGCCAGTAATCAGTTACTTTTTAGCTAATGAGCTCACATTTCAATCGTAACAAAATGCCTAGAAATAAAGTTACTTTACTGGTTTATCAAGGAGCTCCTAAGTACTTTCAGATATTACCTTGAAGGGCATTTTAGAGACATTTTGATAGAATTTTTTGTCAAATTTCATTGCCATTATTTGATCAATCCTAAAGTGTATTTTTTTCTTCTTCTTCAAAGATACAGTGGACCTTCCATATCCATGGATCCTTTATCCACAGATTCAACTTTCCCTGGCTTGAAAATATTCCAAAAATATATAAATTCCAAAAAGCAAACCTTGAGTTTGCTTTTTTGAAAGGAACATCATTTCACTGTGCCTAATGGGACTTGAACATTTTGGTATCCATAGGGGGCCCTGGAACCAAACGCCATCAGATACCAAAGGCTGACTGTAATGGGAACAAAAAATAGTTGAATAAATAATGGAAGAAGTTATTTTTTTCATCATTACAAGGAGTAATGCCACTATTAGTTTATGATATCCTAACAGAGAGTGGGAACAAATTACTCTGAAAAAGAATAATTTGTCAAGTTTTGCTCTTCTGCTTCAGTGGTCTATTTTGGGGCTAGGATTAGTTGGTTCCATAAAGAATTAAACTTGACTTCAGGAGAGGGACATAGGGTGTATCCACACTGCAGAAACAAAGCAGTTTGACATCACTTTAACTGTCATGGTTCCACTCTGTGGGATCCTGGGATTTGTAGTTTGGTGATGTATTCATCCTGGTCTGTCAGCGAGCTCTACAGATTCTGTAGGATAGAGTCATGGCAATTAAAGTGGTGTGAAACTGTTGTATTTCTGCAGTGTGGATAAACGCACAGGTGGCTTTCTGCCCAGAAGATCCAGCTTCTCACCTTCTGCCCAGGAGATCCAGCTTGGCCCATGGGCCCACGGAAACCAATCCCTGGCTCTCCCTTTAAAAACAGATAAAAAGAGAACAGAAGTGGATCCCTCTTCCATTACATCTCACACACAGAGCTTCACAACACACCAAGAAGCAGGGTTCTGGCATCCTACACCCCCAAATTTGACAGGGTAGAGAGAACAGACTGTGGTGGCTCTGACCATATTATTTAAAAGGTGCCCAAGACATTTTGCTGCCTGAGGCAAAAGACAACATGGTGCACCTCAACGCTCCATTCCACATACAGAAACCAAGCAGCATCCCAGTTCGATCTCCCATCAATACTGGCAAGAAGATGGCATCCTCCACCACACTTGAGGGCAGCAGACTAGTTTAGGAGAGGTAATATGAGCCCCATGGTGTCAAAAGAGGGGATGGGGAGAGAGCTCTCCTCTCTCCTCCAAGAGAAGGGACTATCAGAGTGATTTGGGAGGAATGGCCAGGATCCAATGCTTCCCGTTGCCCCAAATATCTGCTATCTGTGCCAGTTGTCTTTCTCTGCCTAATGGTAGGGCTGGCTCTGCTACATCATCCAACTGTCAGGAAGTCTAGGGCTGGAATCCTGGTTGTATATTCTTGTTGTTGTGTGCCTTCAAGTCATTTCCAACTGGTGACAATTCAAAGGTGACCCTAGAGTCACAGAATCATCGAGTTGGAAGGGACCCCAAGAGCCATCCAGTCCAAACCCATTCTCCCATGCAGGAACTCTCAATCAAAGATCCTTGACAGATGGTCATCCAGCCTCTGTTTAAAGACTTCTAAAGAAGGCGACTCCACCACTCTCCGAAGGAGCATCTTTCACTGTCAAACAGCTCTTACTGTTGGGAAGTTCCTCCTAAGGTTTAAGTGGAATCTCTTTTCCTGTAGCTTGCATCCATTGCTCCTTGTCTTATTCTCTGGAGCAGCAGAAAACAAGCTCGCTCCATCCTCAATATGACCTCCCTTCAAATACTTAAACAGGGCTCCCATATCCCCTTTTAACCATCTCTTCTCTAGGCTAAACATACCCAGCTCCCTAAGTCTCATGGGGTTTTCTTGGCAAGATTTGTTCAGAGAGGATTTGCCCTTGCCTTCCTCTGAGGTTGAGAGAATGTGGCTTGCCCAAAGTCACCCAGTCAAATCCTGGTCTCCAGAATCATAGTCCAATGCTAAACCACTACACCATGTTGGCAGTTGGCATCTTGCACATATCTCATTTCCTTTACAAGGCGACTGGAAAAGTTTTGTCCAATATACAATGTCCACATTTAGTTAAAGGTCGTTGAAGTGGAGCTCTGCATGTGGGGCTGTTGCACACGTTATTTGGGTTGAGCACTTCGGCAGTGGACACACTTTAGAATTAATGCAGTTTAATACCACTTTAACTGTCATAGCCCCATCCAATGGGATCCTGGGATTTGCAATTTCTTGTGGCACCAGAGCTCTCTACCAGAAAAGGCTCACAAGACTACAAACCCCAGAATTCCATAGCATTGAGCCATGTCTGTTAAAGCAGTGTCAAACTGTATTCATTCTGTGTGAAGTCGTAGGCTTTCATGG